CACTATCTAGTCTTAGTTTAAAACTTCCCTTACAGCTGAGTTAATAGCCATTGCCAACAAACCAACCCCTATCCTATTTAAATTTAAACCATCCATTCCACAAAATCCCTTCTCTCATTAAAATGATTTCACAAGTTCAACCAAACAATCTTCTCATCCTTACATATTAACCTAAGCCTAGCATTCTGCCCTAGTGACCTACTTATAATTTCACCCCTACAATTAATTCTTGGCAGTATCCCTGACACAATTTAGTTATGGCCCTTTTCTTTAAATGCTTTTGTCAACCCCTTATACTTATCAATTAGCTCCTCTGACCTACCTTTCCCTACATCATTAGCCCCTAAGTGCACAACAAAAACTGCATCATTGCTATCCCCCTTTATTGTATCTCTTGTTCTGTCAATTATATTCTCCACCTATACCCCTGGGTGGCATAATCTAATTATTTTCTATTTATGCCACAGACTATCCTATCTATATGCCTTGTCAAAGAATCACCTATAAATATAACCTCCTTAAGTTTATCATTCACATTTTTGGGCTGAAGAGAAACCACAGTTTCTGAGCACCCTTGGTTGTCTCCCAAGCCCATCCAGCGTGATATTAAACCAAAACAACTGCCACAATAAATATATATATATAACATATCATTCACATCCTTCGCTGTCCCTTTTGTTTTCCTCACTTTCATATAGTTCCTCATCTGCACAAGCCAAGGGCTGAAATGTGTTGCTCAGTAAAACATGCTTATTACAGTTACCTCCACTGCTTTTAGCCCTAATAGTACTGTAAGAAAACCCTTACTAACAAAATACAAAGAATTAAACTGTACATTTTTTCAACTCTAGTCTTTAGGTTTTGTATTTTGCAAATAACATACAATTTATGTTACCTGTTATGTATAAAATATTATTGAGGTAAAATAATGTGTGATGCATTGGATATATCTATATTTTTGTTACAAAAGTTTCATTTTGGTTTTACCTTATTCCTGTGAACTTTGTGATTAGTATATCAAATATATTTTTCTTTACAGAATTAAACAGAAACAAAAAAAAAGCAATGCAAAAGCAGTAATCAAGAAGGTAAGGTTTATGTGTGATTGATATATTTTAGTCAGTAAATAAGTGGTTTTCTAAAGCAGTAATCAAGAAGGTAAGGTTTATGTGTGATTGATATATTTTAGTCAGTAAATAAGTGATTCTCTAAAGCAGTAATCAAGAAGGTAAGGTTATATAAATGTTATTTAAATTTAAATAGGAAATATTTCAATAAATTCCTAGCCTACGCTTCTATATCACGTAACAGTTATTTGCTCTGAATTGCTTAACTTAGACTCTCTTTTTGCCCCTACTTGAACTTCTGAATTTTAATACAACTTAGAGATTTATGTTATAGATATTCATAAGAGATAATATAATTATTATAGCCTCCAGTCATCTTGTTTTACTTATATATAAACCAGAAATTCCAATATAAATGTCACATCCTCCTAACACATACTGTCTTTCAAAAAATGTTAACAATTTACTCTGAAAGTTCCTATTACTGATAACCAATAGGAAGAGAAGATTTTATTTACCTATTTATTTATAGTGCTAGCTTGTTCCATTTGCAGCCTTTGAATTATTCAGTGTACAAGTTCATAGTTTCTCTCACATAGTTCAGCTCAAACACCTAAGGTAATTATTTTAAGGCACTTATACTTTACCTCTCTATCTCCAAGCAGCCAATATATCAGCATGCTTGTTTTCCTACTTGGACGAGCTGCCGATATATCAGCATGCTTGTTTTCCTACTTGGACGAGCTGCCGATATATCAGCATGCTTGTTTTCCTATTTGGACGAGCTGCCGATATATCAGCATGCTTGTTTTCCTACTTGGACGAGCTTATAGGTCTTGTTCTCTTTCATGATCAATCCCACATCTTGAATGTCTTATATATTCAATATAAAACTAGAACTACTTCCGTTAATGAAATATCTTCAATCTGAGTGCCAAGTTGATTGGAGAAAGATGTGTTTTTAGTGATTTATGTGAATGTTTTGACCCCTATTTTGAAACAAAGAAAATGACCATGTCCACTACTTCTAGTAGGCAAGGGAAAGACCAGTGGTGCAACTATGAGGGAAAAAAAAGCAGGGTCTGGATCTAGACCTAACAAGAGGAAGAGGACAGTTGTAGGAGTGGGGGGAGATTGTGAGTATGGTGAAGATGAAGTAGCATGGAGACTAGTTGGGCCACAAAGAAATGTAAAGCTTGATTTGGATGAAAGCCATTCACCACTGGATTTCCTCAAAGCTGTTCTTGAAGAAGAAATTGAGGCCATTTTTGCTTCATCCAAAGCCCGTATTTGCTCTTGAGATACAGAGTTAATAAGAAAACCAGTTAAATTATGATAGTTGTTGAACATTGTATACTTTGTGCTTGTTAATATTTTGTGATCTTAATTGCACATTTGTAATAAATAATAATAATCATGTTATGTATACTATCATCATTGGAAAAAAAGTAAGATTAAGTTTCATGGGGCCAACTATCATCATTGGAAAAAAGTAAGATTAAGTTTCATGGGGCCAACTATCATCATTGGAAAAAAGTAAGATTAAGTTTCATGGGGCCAACTATCATCATTGGAAAAAAAGTAAGATTAAGTTTCATGGGGCCAATAGAAAAAAACAAAGCCAGATGTAAATACTAAGTTTATTTTTTCATGTATATGTTTTATTTATTGTTATAAAATTATTTAATATGTAAAAATTCTAAACTTATTAGATTAAATAAGAAGGTGAAAAAAGTTAAAGAAAAAGATTTCTCAATGAGGTTTGCATGCAAGCTGCTTGTGAAAAAAAAGTAACTGTAGCTAGCCGTTTGTTGGGTAATTTAGCTGTTTTACACAAGTTTAGTGGTTAGATATGGTTCGGAGAACAATAAAATAATAAAAATAAATAAAAGCAATTGTGAAAAGGATGGAAGACTGAAGGTTTTAGGGTGAGTAACAGAAACGTTCTGTTTACAACTTGTTGTCATTCTAGGAAGAAAAGGGAGTAACTTAGATTATTTCTTATTTTGAGGTGGTTACAAGGTCACTCAAATGAACTGAGTCCATTTAGTGTTAAGGTAGAGAAAATAAGACATAAAATATGTGAAGTTTTACTGAAAAAACTTCATTCAGAGGTTCTAGAGATTATGCAAATAAATTTGTAAGATGGATAAAAATAATTTTTAATTTTAACATGAACTTTTTTAACCTTACACTCGAACTAATCAACACTCTGTCTCCATGTATCCCAAGACAAGTTTTAGTGAAAATACATAATTAACAAATCTTATTTTCTGTCTAGAAAAGAAATAACGTTTACTAAAAGCTTGCCATATTTCATTAAGATAAACTTACTCCGTTGAATGTTATAGTCGTAGCTGCGTGCACTACCTCTTCAATTGAGCGCCACTGTCACTACTGCTATAACAAGAAAAATGCAACAGTGCTGCTGTTGTCGCTACATATTTATAAATATAGTGGTGCCAAGCGAACACTACTTTTGAAACTGACATTTTTCATGATAATTTGTTTTGTCAATGGATAATGTAAGAACGAAAATTGGAAACTTATTTGTAAATGGTAATACTTTATTGCTACAATAACATAATACAGGCTTTTCAGAACAGCCTATCCATATTTATGAATGATTAGAGGAAAGCAGCTAACAACCATACGGCCTTCAATACATTCAGTGATAGTACTTAAAGAACACGATGTCAAAAAGTAAATGAATATGATGACACTAATAATAGTATTACATGAGCTAATAAGTTCATGACAGCAATTGCATCACGCAACATTGTTTTTCATAAGCAAAATGCAGTGTAAATATAATTATAATAAAATATAATATTATATATTATAAGTCATGATATATAATAATGTATATTTCTGGGATTTTCTTAACTAATTATCTGACATGAAATATAAACTAGCTGATTCATGTAAATATCTTGTATTATCAATTGAAACATGTTAACCAAGAATTATCCAGCTCATTTAAGAGTTCTAAATTAAACTGAACATATAAACAGTAAATATAACAATATATATACAACATAGTATTATGTCAAGGATAGCTGGCAAGCCATTGCTGCAGATGAATCAGCTGAATATGTCACCTACCATAGGTAAGCCTAATTAAGTCTGAACGATATATATATAGTTATATACTATATACAAATGATTAATATTTATATTTTCTATTAAAAATTGATGTAGTGAGTAGAGCTTTGTATGGATGAAAATTGGAGTAACAATACCTGCAATTGCTATGAATTTTCAAATGTAACATTGATCCAATAGTTGCACCTAGAAACCTAGCGGTGCTACACACAGCTCTGGTTATAATATGTATACTTTTATGTTTATCTGGTGATTATGTGGTGGTTACAAGATCAGTTATAATGACTGAGCCCTTTTTTGGATAATTAACATCATAAAATTAATTTATTACTGCATACATACATACACTGTTACTTATAAACTCTTACATATCCAGCTTAACTTACTGACAGGTTAATTTTTCAATTCTGCTCTAAGTAGGTGGCTTGCCTTTGTTTTTTCCTGGAAGTTAACATTAGTTATACTAAAAATAAAAGAATAAAATATATGTATAGAATGGGCTAACTATTTCATTAAAAAATTACTTCACAACTCTAAAATTAACTTTTTTTAAAAGTGACTAGTCAAGCAGAGTTTCAATTACTAGGTCTAAGGAAGAAAAAAGTAATTAATTCGCTAGCTGTATATTCTTGCTGGTAAAGATATTTACTTCAAAAATTCATTGTATAAACCTTTAAATTGTTTTATCTTTTCAATTATTTATTCTGCCACAAAATAATGCATTAGAAAGCTTTTATTTAATGACCACAACTCATCGTTGGGTACCTTCTTAACAATATTTTCAGCCATAATACTAGTAAAACCTCCAGCTTAGGAGATTTAGGCTAGTCATAAATCTATTTTTTAAGCTAACAGTGCAAAACAATATGTAATAAAAATATAATAATAAAGAAATAATATTAGATGTATTAAATATTCTAACCAATACAGTTAGTGAAATTGACAGTAAACAAGTGTTAGAGTATACCCTAATCTCGAAACACACAAACACCAGTTGGCTTTTAGAACTGTCACAAATTTAATGCAGCATTGGAATGCCTATGTGGAGTCATTTACATTAAATCATTTTTTAATTTCTGTATAAACTAACATTAAATTCTGATTATTTGACTAGCTACTGAGTCAAAATTACTATTTTATTTTTCACATACAGGATATTATCATTCATTTCAGCTAAAAGTAGGCTTGAGAATTTAGTGTTGATAAATAATCATTCCTAATGGTAAGTAAGTAGAAGATTTTGATGTTTCCATGAGTCACAATAGGTGAAACTGATAGGTTAGATACGTATATTGGTAATTGGTGAAGGAATTTTATGTAAAATATTACATTTCGACAATACAATTTAGGTATGCTTTTAATGTACAGGTTAGAGAATTCTCTAACTACTAAACATGTGTAACAAAGCTCTAAATCACTTTGTAAGTGCATAGCTGAAGTTATGATAAAGTATTTATGTAATGCATGAGTAGCTTTTGTGCGTATCTTGCTGAGAAATTTTATTATTTAATTTTGTCAATTAATGTTTTGTTGTCTAAATTAACAAGTTTCTAATTTCTACATTTTAGTTACTTTTATAACAATACATAAAAATAAGAAATTATTAGTTATTATGTTTGGCCTCTTGTTTTTCTGCTTTCTGTCCCCAACAAAACGTAACCATATATTTTTTTTGCAAAAATAATTTTTATTTATTTTAAATATAGAGTTAAGAACACAAAATACTAATGTGCAAAAAATTAAAATAACCTAAAACTTTTATAATTTAACTGCCTTTCTAACTAAGTTGTAAGTGGATTGAGATAATTCCCTTTCATGGTCAAGATGACCTTGATGATCACAACAATAAATGTGTAGGCCAAATAATTCAAAACCTATCATGGGAATGAGCTAGCCTTATATGAAAATTGAGATAATCCAGTAGCAAGTGATGGTGAGAATTATTGGGCATGTGAATTTGACTTTCTGGTTTATAAATCTCTAAAGAAAGATGGTTGGAGGCTATAAAAGTATTTATGTCTTAGCAATATATATATATAATATAACATATATGATAAACTCAGGACATCATATAGAGTAGTAAGAAAATCTAAAATAGGTTCTTTGGAGTAAATGAGGGTCACAAGAGAAGTGAAAATTGAGATTTATTTAATTATTTCTTTTAAAAATTAAGAAATTAAAATATATCTAATATTTAAATCTGACTTATTAATTATGTTTTGATTCCTATACAGTTTATACATTGATATAAAGTAGTTTAATTGAATTTTGAATGTGACTAGGTAAAAGGTCATGATGTGCAACTTGACCCCATCCATGCATAGAATGAAGCCTGTGAATATATTAAAACATAAAATCTTGATCTCACTATGTATAATAAACTGTTTAAATGTTCTTTGTATCAATTGTTTCTTTAGACCCTGATTATCTAATTGACTTTTGTGGTATAGATACCAAGTAAGTAATACTAACAAAACACTAATTTATAGTATTATGAATTAATAAATAGTTTGAATAAGGCCAAGTTAACAAACGATTAGGAATCTAATGTTGAACATATTAAAAATATTAGTGTGAAAGAGGTTTCAAGGAAGGAAATTTAGAAGAAAAATGGTTAGTGCTTTGGTGAAAACTCAGTAGATGATGATACTGTGGAGTATCAACAAAAAAGTGTGTTGATAATGGAAAAATGAATGAAGATGTCACATTCTATGAATGGCCAAATGATGTTATATGCCTTGAGACAACTACTTCTACTAACAGGTTCACTACAAGTGAAAGATATAAAGTTTTCATAAATAGAAGATTATTTGCTGCTACTTATTATTATCACCAACCTACCAGTGGAGAAGAAACAGAGAGGATTTAGCTTCTTTATTCAGTTAAGATGTAGAGTATTGTTTCTGCTGCAAACTCTTCACTTCAACATGATTTACCTTGACTAATAGTGGTATGAATCACTGGATAAAACACAGAGAAAATATTAGACAAACATGAAATATCACCTGATTATCAAGGAACTTTTGAAAACTGGAAAGTATTAAAAGTATATCTAGAAAAGGAACATTCTGTTCTTGTGTATTGTTTTCTTTCAAAACATTCATGTAGTTGTCATTAATCGCAGGCTTATTTCTGGCTTGAGAAAGAGAATTTGCTCGAAATGTCACTAAGAAAGTAAAATATAGACATAGTTTTTTAACGTTATTTTTCTTTAAATATTTACTTTCTTCATTTTATCACCTTCCCTCTTCTCTACCTATTTATTAGAAAAGGAACAGATCACTGATTTTAAAAACCACCTTGGAAACCTGAGTATTAGCAATGTGTTTAACAAACAGCTGTCATAAAGTGATTCTAGGTGAATGAAAGAGTAGTAATTTTAAGAAGTTCATCAACATTTTTGGAATGTTTGATGTTCTAATGAAAGGGCATTTTTTAAGAGAATGAGAATGCAAAAAGATAAGGACAATTATCTTGTGAAAATAATTTAATACAGCTGCTGGTTGATATCATCTACAGCAAAGTGATCTTTGAGTTATATCACTTGAGTTATTGGATTGCACTCTAGATATCAATCAGCAGTTGTTTAACTTTGTAAAGTAAATTCTGATAAGGTTGAAAGTGGAAAGATTCATTAAAATGAAAGACTCATTGGGCTTAGGTTTGACAGAGCAGCTGCTACAAAAACCTAAATGAATCAGAATTCTATCTTGAAGACATGAGGAGGACAAGACTATGAAAATGAAGCAAGTAGGAAAGGCAAGGACACTGGAGTTCATTCTAGAGTTCTGTCACTAAATCCAAGAGCATTCTTTCTTTACACCGTGTTATTCTTAGTCACGCATTCTTGTTTTTAGACTACCTTATTTATGCTTCTTCCAAATTTTGGAGGATCAACTTTCCCTAACCACAACTGGATACAGTCTTGCCAGTTGAACAGAAACAGATACACCCACATCACACTTGAACAGAAACAGACACACCCACATCACACCTGAACAGAAACAGATACAGGTGTGATGTGGGTGTATCTGTTTCTGTTCAGGTGTGATGTGGGTGTATCTGTTTCTGTTCAGGTGTGATGTGGGTGTATCTGTTTCCGTTCAGGTGTGATGTGGGTGTATCTGTTTCCGTTCAGTTGTGATGTGAGTGTATCTGTTTCCGTTCAGGTGTGATGTGGGTATATTTGTTTCCGTTCAGGTGTGATGTGGGTGTATGTTTCTGTTCAGGTGTGATGTGGGTGTATCTGTTTCTGTTCAGGTGTGATGTGGGTGTGTCTGTTTCTGTTCAGGTGTGATGTGGGTGTATCTGTTTCTTTTCAGGTGTGATGTGGGTATATCTGTTTCTGTTCAGGTGTGATGTGGGTGTATGTTTCTGTTCCAGTTTGACTGGTTTGTGTAGATAAATATGAAAAACCTGTCTATCCCAAAGTTAAAAATTATTTTTTTATTTCTCGTATTTCTAGTAACAAAGCCTATAAACCAGAATATAAAAGAAGAAAAAGAAGATGAAAGCTCAGAAGAAGAAGAAGAAACCTAAGCTCAAACATAAATGGATGAACACATGACTATCACCACCATTTTCTTACAATCACAAAACTTGAGCTTAGGTTCATGAACTTTACTTGACTTGACCTCTTAGTGAAGTGTAATTATGAAATAAGTTTCATTCATGGCTTTATCCAAACTTTTTATGTGGCTCACAGTGTTGGAAACATAACCTTGAAAGCTATCTGAATCAAGTATTTAAAAAAGTTGTACATAGACCTATTTAATCAATATTAGTAGAATTTTTGTATTAAACATTCACTGTTAATTTGTATATTAGAATATGCAAAGTAATGGCTGTAATGACAAAACATTTTGTATCAAGTGGTACATAGTTAATAAAAAGAAAGTATTATAAATGAGTCTGCAGTTTGAAATCTCAAAACGTAAGTGTATTCTTCAGAATCCATGAGTGTAATCAAAGTAGAATATGTTATAATATACCAACCATACTACATCTTTGTTCTTTATGACTATAGCAATGATAAAAGTAAATTTGTACCCACCCACTAGACTGCATCGTGACACTTCGATTACCTCGTCTAAGTAATGTTGACCTTTTCAGTTAAACAAAGTCCTAATCTGTTGTTCACTGAAATACAGTGTTTGCTATTAGTCTGAGAATCAAATATTACACTAGTAGTTCAAACAAATTTTGAAAATTTAGTTAAATGGAACAGTTTTACAACAGTGGAAGGAAACTTCCCAAGTGTAAACTCATATACAGAAGTAAGTGTTTATACAAACTTTTATGACACTGTTCTCTTCTATGTGTTGTTCTGACACTCTGTCCTCTTCTATGTGTTGTTCTGACACTCTGACATCTTCTATGTGTTGTTCCGACACTGACATCTTCTATGTGTTGTTCTGACACTCTGACCTCTTCTATGTGTTGTTTTGACACTCTGTCCTCTTCTATGTTGTTCTGACACTCTGTCATCTTCTATGTGTTGTTCTGACACACTGACCTCTCCTACGTGTTGTTCTGACACACTGACCTCTCCTACGTGTTGTTCTGACACTCTGACCTCTTCTTTGTGTTGTTTTACATTGTTCATTGTATAGTCTGATGCTTGCAATATGCTTAAAACATTTTCAGAAATAAAATTGCTAAACTTAACTTTCGTCCAAAACTTTACATTCCGAGTACAAGTGTATTCCTTGTCAATTCTTAAAGTAGTCCATAGAACAACACATAGAAGAGGACAGGTGTCAGAACAACACATAGAAGAGGACAGAGTGTCAGAATAACACAGAAGAGGTCAGAGTGTCAGAACAACACAGAAGAGGTCAGAGTGTCAGAACAACACAGAAGAGGACAGAGTGTCAGAACAACACATAGAAGAAGGACAGTGTCAGAACAACACATAGAAGAGGATAGAGTGTCAGAAAACACATAGAAGAGGACAGTGTCAGAACAACACATAGAAGAGGACAGAGTGTCAGAACAACACATAGAAGAAGGACAGAGTGTCAGAACAACACATAGAAGAAGGACAGTGTGTCAGAACAACACATAGAAGAGGACAGAGTGTCAGAACAACACATAGAAGAGGACAGAGTGTCAGAACAACACATAGAAGAGGACAGAATGGTACATAACAGTGGATGTACATTAACATTTTTAGCTATAGGTAGAAACATGCACTCAAGCTACATCAATCTTAGTATTATTACTGGCTATCCTGTGTTTGTAAGTCCTGTTAATGAAACAAACAAATTGAAAAAGTTATTAGTTAAAGAGTTTTGAAATTTTTGTTTTCCAAAAGATATAAAAATGGTAGAAACAGATATTGAAGGATTAGGTATTGATTTATTACATCTTTATTGTCATACTAATGTAACAGGAAGATTATTTCATATAAAGTAGCATTTTAAAAGTGCATCATCTTTATTATAAGCTGTAGGTAAGATGGAGTACATTGTTTAACAATGGCCATTTTAAAGGCTTTGTTTGGTAACTGAAAAATACAAACTAAAAACGACAAAATTAGGCCTGAATCTAACATGAAGCACTGTTGCAAAATGAAAGTTTTTGTGTGAATGTTTTTACTTCGCAGTACAGTTATCTGATTTCATTGTTGAATCATGTTGAATGAGACAAATATCTTATCAGACATAACCTGTATGCTCCAATGAGTACCTGTTGGAATTATGGAAACAAACCTTGATAATTATGTACTGAATTGGAGTAAGTAATAGAAAGTTGCACATAATTATGTACTCATGTTTTATTTAATTTAACACAATGTTAAAAATAAACAAAAATGTGCCTATTAATGACAGTCTTTAAAGGTAATCTGTAAATTATTAAAGTGTAAAGATTTTCTGAAATTTTTTAACCCTGTTAAATGATATTCTCACTTCTTAATAATACTTTCAGAAATACTTATTGTTTAACAAGTAAACGTATATATATAATATTTTCAATCATGTTATTTGGATGTGTATAAAACTTCTATTGTATCAATGAAGAGAATGGTCCTCCTGGTTTTTGATTTCCATTTTGATAAGTCCGTGGATTTACAACCCCACAATCAGGGGTTCAGTTCCCCTTGATGGACATGGTAGATAGCTCGAAGTAGCTTTGCTGTGGAAAAAAACACACAAACAAACACCATTTTGTCTACATGTGGTACATGTATATTATACATACCCTCTAGAGTTTGTTATGCCTACAGCTTGACCATTTTGTAATACTTGGTTTCATTTCCTTTATATTTCTAATTTTTCAGAATCATTTGCTAATATTAATCTACAAAAGTTGTCTACCACTGTGACAAACATTTTAGAAAACATCTGTCAGCATACAGCTTAGATGGAAATTCTAATGTTCACTTTTGAGTTATGATAAATTTAGCTGCTTGAGAGGGTGAATACAAAACGTTTTGACCATTCTTATATAAAATTTATTTTATAAAACCGTATTTTAAGGACTGTTTTTAGATTTAGTGTATCTTATTAGGTCAAAAATGCATGTTTAAATGCCTGACATTTGTTTAGTCATGTGATATATGAGCAGTGCAGCATTAGAAATGGAATCAAATTCTAGTGTTTAACATCAAAGTTATTTTGTGTTCATATTTAGAAAGTTATCAGGAAAAATAATTGTTAATTATGCACATGGGTAATTGTAGTATGTGTGATAAGTATGGAATTGTTGTCAGCAGTTAATTTCTTTTTTATTCTGTTAATTATATCCTACAAATGTACATCTTTTAGGTAAGGTCTATTCTAAGGCACATGGGTAATTGTAGTATGTATGATAAGTATGGAATTGTTGTCAGCAGTTAATTTCTTTTTTATTCTGTTAATTATATCCTACAAATGTACATCTTTTAGGTAAGGTCTATTCTAAGAAGAAACTTATATTAGTGAACAGTTTTGGATTATGTAAATATAAAAATATTTGTTTGCTTTGATGCATAGGCAGCAGTTTCTTTAGAAACAACAGCAATACAGTATTTTGTTGTTCCTAAAACAAAAATTTATTTTGCCCTAAGTGTGAAGTGAAACACAATTACTCTTCCATATAAAGATTTTGGTTTTCTTAAAAAGTAGTTTTCCAAGTACAGTTTTTGTAGTAAGTCTTAAGATTCTCATCTAAAGTAAACATAATTCTTAACTATTTAAACAATGAAACATCTGAACAAATAGAGCCCATATAGTGTTCTTGATATTATTCTGAAAATAAAGATGAAAGTAGTAGTTATAAAATACTAGATTTTAGGAAAAGAAACAGTGTGAATTAGAGCTATGCTAGACTGGAAATGTTTTATTTTATTTTTCACATTCCTCTTACATTACAGGTTTCAAATCAGAGGTAAGTAAAAACAGCATTTCAGGTTTATTTTACATTTGTCACAGGAGGCCTTTCATTCTATATCAGAACTTGTTAGCTGGACTTGATTATAAGAGATAAAAATTTATTTGAAAATAGCATTTCAGATCAACTGAAACACTTGTACTGTTGTACACAGTCACAGTATGCTGCAGAGATTGAATAGACCTAACATTGTGATATTGATTACAAACTAGCATGACAGCTCTAGGCTACAGCACATGTACCGTAAATTACTCATCCTTCTGTGTGAATATTTGGGCATTTTTTCCCTGAGGAAAGACTTACTTTTCAGAATGTTGGATAAGAAAAAGAACATCAGAATGAAATAAGTGGCTTCAGTGGTACTTAAAAGAACATTAATGATTGCAACCATTAAACTCTGGTACCTCAAATCAAGTCCCTCATGTAGCTTTACTTTAGTAGTAGTCATACAACTCTGGTACCTCAAAACAAGTCTCTCATGTAGCTTTACTATAGTAGTAGTCATACAACTCTGGTACCTCAAAACAAGTCTCTCACATTGCTTTGCTACAGTGGTATCCTCTACGAATTGGGGTGATAATAGGAAAATTGACTTGAGGAGAGGGGAGCAAGGATGTATAAGTCAGCAGATGGAGTGAGTATAATGAACCTTAGTTAAATAACAGTTGGTGATGGTATAAATGAATGGCACCACAGGAAACAGTGTCAAAACCAATTTGTCAAGAATTTGGACATAAAGGACAATCTAACTAAATTATTCAGCTGAAGTAAGATACAAAAAAGTCCAACATTCCAAGTTTAGTATACACATTGACATTGAGAGTTGACAGAAAGACATGCAATGTATGTATAATTGTTACCTAATAAGATTTATTGTAATGTGAACTCTTTAATGATACTGGGCCTGATTGGATGCATTCTACTGGGGGAAAATTGCATCATTATAGTAAAAAATTATACAAAATAAACTTGTAGTAATTGTTCCATAAAAAATCATATTTTAAATTTACTCAATAAAATTTTATTTAGTTAGTTTTATACATAATAAAAATTGCAAATTCTACTTTTGGGTTGATTTCAGTTTGCTCTGAACAAAGACATTAGTGTCCAGTTTATACTGAATTTTTTCTCAGCATAACATGCTACTCAAAGCCTCCTAGGAGGAAAGTCGAAATATTTTTGAACAAAATAGAGCTACTTTTGAACTTTTAAATAAGAGTGTAAGGTTATCAATATCAGTGTCAATCACTGTTTCTCAATCTGGGTTGTTGTGGTATAATGTAATTACTTATTCCTCAGCTTTGAGAAACTGTAAGCTAGTGATCTAAACTTGTAATGAAAAATTTTTTTTGTTCTTTTCAACTACATAGGCCAGTTTGGTCTCCACTTTAGTGGACATTCATATAGACATTTGAACAAAGTGATAAAAGCTTAGCTTGGTGATACACTGCTAGTAGAAAAATACTTTGGGGAAGATTTTCTTCAGAACTACAGTTTTATAATTTTATATTTATTTTAAATTATGAT